CGCCCCGACACGCCCCGCGCAGAAGAGGCGCAGCAGGGCAGGTCACCCGGTTGTGCCGGGCCCTTCCTGAGCACTCGGTGCCGCAGACTCGGTGTCTGTCAGCGCGTGTGCTGCATCGATGGGACAGCCCGGCAGCGCTCCTGCCAGACGCGGGGCCCATTGTCGGCCTCCCCACGCAACAAACAGAGGAAAAGGCTGTTCAAGGAATTTCCTCCCTCCAGGAGCCGGGCGTTTCCATTAATTCTTCTCCATGAGTCAAACTGGCTGTACTGGGTGTCCCTCTGTCCCGGCATCCTGAGGAACATGCGTCTGAATAGCTAATTTTATCTAGCTTGTCTAATGTTCTGCCATAGACAGGAGTAGAGCAGAGGGGCGGCCGTGTATCCCCAGCTCAAGCAGCCGTGCCCGGGAGCGTGCCGGTGAGCTCCCTGACGCAGGCAGCTGGCAGAAGCCACAGAAAGCCCGGACAGAGAACAAGCAGAAGCCTTTTTTGCACAAGCTCTGGTTTGACAGGCTGGGGAAGGCAAGGGGCAGCTTGCGGGGTGCTGGAAAGCAGCAGCCCAGAGCAAAGGGGTGGTCAGTTACAGCAGACTGTGCAGACGTCCTACGATCTGTCCCCCCATCAAACACCCATCCCCATTTCTCGAAGTAAACCACTTGTGCAATCATCCTGATTGTGGGAAGATGGGTTGGAACAAGTCAACAGTCCAGCTCAGCCTGTCCACTGTGTTCAGAAGGAGATGGGGACGTTCCTCAGGGTCTGAACACCCAGTACTGTAACCTTCCAATTTCTGGTGAAATCAAATACACACGACAGGAGCAGAGTCCAGAGCGGAGCTGGGCCAGACCTCCCATGGCAGTGTTTCTGTGCGGAGGGACAGGGTGCTCCGGTCAACAGCAACACCTCCCGGGCAAGTTTCCCTTCCACACCATTGAGCAATGGGGCAAGTTAAAAATTGACTGTTCAGCTGAACTGCACATCTGTTTTGCCCGGAGGTGCAGCCCCTCCTTCACAAACACCTTGGGTGCACCCGGGGAAGCCGGTGCTCGTGGGCAAGTACATGAGCACAAGGCGTCCGCTGGCCCAGGGCAAGGCAAAAGCCACCCGCTCCCCAACCTGCCCACCTGCCCCCAGACAGCACAAGGGGAGATACAGGAGGCTGGCAGCAGCCCTGCTCAGGAGTGACAGGCCATGAGCAGGAAGGAAAAGGCTTTTCTGCTCGC